CCAGACTGCGTGGTATTTTACAAACATAACGTCAGAATCACTTCCTATTAGCTGGATTACAATGATGTCACTATTTGCGTTTGCAATATTTACAAATACAGTTTGGGCTACCTCACACATGCTCTTTGCTGTCACATTTTGTCTACACGGCGAAACAGAATGATAAATTTTGATTAATCAATCATTAATTATTAAAAAATACACAATTCAGTGCCAACATTTCAAAGGGGCGTAATTGCTTTTGTAAACAATGACTTTAGGCGTCAATTACAATTTGTAGGGGCCTCATAGCCTAGTCAGTAAAGGCACGGTATTACCAAGCCGGAGGCGGCGGGTTCGATTCCCGCTCCGGTCGAGGGAATCTTTCGGGTTGGAAATTTTCTCGACTTTCCTGGGCATAGATTATCATTGTGCTTGCCACACAATATACAAATTCATGCATTGGTAATTGGCATCGAAAGTTCTCAATTAATAACTGTGGAAGTGCATTTAGAACACTAAGTTGAAACGGCGCCAGTGGTGTAGTGGTAAGCGTGATTACCTCTCACCCCAGCAGGCCTGGGTTCAATCCTAGTCGGCGCCGCCGGGATGTTCCGAGGCATAACATCTCTGATCACGCCTTCCTTCGGAAGGGAAGTAAAACTGTTGGTCCCCGGTTCATGAGTTGATGGGTCGATAGGTAGGGTCCAGGCAGCGTTGCCAGATATACCGATTTATCGGTATTTATACCGATTTTCAAACTTGATACCGATATACAGATAAGGTTTCTCAAAATACCGATTTTGGAGTTTTAATACCGATTTATACCGATTTTTTTATTATTAATAATCAAAATGATTGCTGCCTGCCCGCACTGAATTGTCAGAGGAAACTATTGTGACAGACTTTTATCTTATTAAAAATTAACATTTTTGAGAGTGCTCTAAAAAAAATTCATCTTCAAAAATGTCTTATGATTGATACTCTTTCGACTAATGCTTCCATTTCCTCGCCATTTTTGTTTACCAAGTAGTCGAGAAACAGCTAATGGGTCACCCCAGTAATTTCTGGCAATCGGAAAAAAAAACTTCTACTCTTTGGAAAAATAGATCCATAAAAACGTTAATTTTTGAACTTCCTGAAATTTCTTCAATCTTTCCTGTGAAGTTTCTTCCAACTTTCCCTAGGAATTTCCGTCCACTTTAGCCTGTAACTTATTTTCCTATTTCTTCCGGAAAGCTATTTCGACTTCCCTTGGAAGCTTCTTCTGGCTTCGTCGAAAGGTTCTCCCGTCTCCTCCCGTCTCCTCGTGTCAGTTTTTTCAACTTCCCCGGTACTTCAGAAATGCTTCCAGAGTTTTATTGTGGTTCCATTAGTTTCAGGAAAACTTTAGGAACCTTTCAGAAGTTCTGAAACTTCAGAATAGTTTGAACTTTTGGGTAGGTTCCGATAAATTAAAGACAATTTCATGAATTTCTGTTCAAATTCGAGAACCCGGAAATCTCAAGAAAGCCCAGAGAACTCTAATGAACTTAGGGAAACTGAAATATTTTGGAATCTTCACAAGACCAAAGAACTTCAAAGAAATTCAATGGTTTTCCGGATAGTTCCATTTGTTTAGGAGAATTGAGATAACTTTAGGGAAGCTCTGAGAACTTCAGGACATATAAATTCAAGGAAATTTCAGAATCTTTAAATGAGTTTCGAGAATCTCAGAGAATTTTTGAAAACTTCAGTTAAGTTCCGAGAGGTTCATGAAAATTTTGGAAACGTAGGGAAAGTAATATGAACATTAGAAAATTGTGAGAACATTTTAAGGGAAGTTCTGTGGTTTTTATCGGCAGTTTACAGAACTTTAAAAAAAAATAGAAAAATCGGGAAGATCACAGAACTTCAATGCTGATGTTTATTAATTTAAAATTGTATGCGCTAAAGATGTTCAAGGGACTTTTAAAGTAGATAAGAGATTTTCCGATAGTTTCAAAATAATCAGGGAAGATCCGAGTACTTCAAGGATGATCAGAGAACCTCAAAACATCCCCATTAACATTAGGAAAATTGCAAGAACTTTCAAGGAGATCCGAAGAATTATGGGATATTCCGAACTGCAATTCAGGAATGTTCCGAAAACTTCAGGAACATTGTGGGATTTTCATGGATGTTTTATGAATATCAGGAAAATTGCTGGATCAATAGAGCTTATGAGTAACTACAGGGAATATTGTGCTAACATCCCCAAGAAATCTAAATCTTCCAAATATTTTCCCATCTTCTTCTTGAAGTATCAATTCTGTTCCGTAAGCCCTCTGGCGTCTGACTTTTTCCAGAAGTTTCTTCCAATCTACTTAACGAAGTTTCTCCCAGTGTCTCCTGGAAGTTTCTTCCGTCTTCTCCAAGAAGTTCAATTAAAGTTCAACCGGATGCATCTATCGAGTTCTCCCAAAAGTTTATTTTGTCTTCCTATGAAAGTTTCTTCATAAGTCACTCTCCGGAGGTTTTTTTTCCGACTTGTTGGAAGGTTTTTCCAAGCTTCTCCTAACTTCCCCAGGAAATAGGTCCTCCGGGATTGGATTCCAATTTCCAAACTTTTCGGACTTCTAAATTTTTTCCGAAAGTTACTAATATATGTTTGCCAGAAGGTTCTCAATATTTGTCTTGCAAGATTCCGGATCTTTTTTTGAAAATTTTTTAGAACTTCCTTCAAACTTTCTCCACAGATCTTCTTTATTCTTCCTCTGGAAGTTTAGTCGGTATCATTAAGAGACTTATTCAAATATTTCCCAGAGATTTCTTTCGACTTACATAAAAAGTACATCTCTTGATTTTAGTCCAAAAAAAATTGAAAAAATTAAAATTAATTAAATCAGTGAATACCGATAAATACCGATTTTTTAATCATTTTATACCGATAACCATGGAAACAATCTGGCAACGCTGGGTCCAGGTGTGGGAGCTGCCTTCCTGGCACGTCGGTAGCATTGGTGCTCAGCACGGAAAACAAGATCGACGGAAAAAAACAAACCAAAGAAAAAAAAACACTAAGTTGAGAGCACGCAATAAGCTAATATGCGGTAAGCAATAAGCTTGAAATGCGAATAAGAAGAAGAAGAAGCGTCATTGTCACGGTACTAATGGATATTTTTGGTCGCTATTGAAAATTTAGTCCATTTTAGAATTTATATATGGGCCCAAATTAGGTGCATTTAGGCTGACATTACATCAATTTACCCTATCATTATGTTTCTCCGTACACTTTTTTGGCAACCGAACTAAACTGACTCACACATTGACAGTGAGAAAGTGTGACGTTCATATCCTCTTTGCTTTCGTTTGCTCGTTGCTTTGTGCGCATTATATTCAACGAAAAAATTCGGACCGGTGATTTAATTCAATATTATAAAAAAAAAAATTGGGATACCAACGTAAACAAGCGTATTAAAGAAATCAAAAGATCAATCTACCAAAGATCGACTCTTTGGTACCAATTTAATGAGTGGATCGATTCTAGTGCCAAATATAAGATCGATCTGTCAAGAACGATCTTTCTCTGAAGATCGCCCAATCCTACAACAGTCAGCAAAAACAAAACTAAAGACTGTATCGCACTGAAATTTGGCATGTCTGCCTAAATATGAACGGTCTACAAACAAGGGAAAAGACGTTGAGGCTCGAACAAAATTTCTCTAAAAACTAGTGTAAAGATTCCTATTCAACTTAAGCAAGGTGCTGGCGTTGCACAATTTACACTAGACACTAAGTGCTGGTAGCTCCAAGTGGCAATTTTCAACAGAAAATTTATCGATACTACCGCCAAATTGGTCGAAAGTGGAAAAATTATAGAGGAAATCAGGAGATGCTATCGCCACGTAACGGCGACGTTTCCACTTATCTTTACACAAGTTTCTGACCGAAGTTGGACGTCTATTCTCTGTGCTTCAAGGCACCATAACATTTTTTGCAGTTGCAGCGCATTCTGACGGTCGAGGAGGTTACTTTTCACCTCACTAGTATATTCATGGGACGGGACTTGACAATCGGGTAGCGATTTCGAGCCAATTTGCTGTCAAATCCGAGCCAGTTTCTGATTGGTCGATTTGACAGCAGCAATCGTAGAATAAAAAGGACAGAGAGATCGCATCAATCTGGCTGGTAGTGATGCCGGAATCAATGTTGACGTCAATGGCGTTGTTAATTGTTTCTATTTGCGAAAGGAAAGCTGTAAAATTGAGTGCACTGCGTGTTTTAAGCGATTGATATTGTTGTTTGTTTAGGGTTGTTTTAATTGTGTTGAGCAAAAATTATGTACAAGGTGCTAAACTGACGGAGTTTTCTCAGCGGAGGAGGATCTGCACGATTTCGGTTGAGGTTTTCTGGTGTGCACGGTCGAGAAGTACGATTTCGGTGGATATTGTCGGTGCTAACAACGGATGTTCCAGGAAATTTCTAAGGTTTTCCTGTGGAAAAACTAAAAAAACTGCCGGAAAATGAGGAAATTGACGAAAATTTTATTCAGTCTCGGAGTGGTACCAATAGACTGAGTGAATCCAATCTTTTCTTTTCTCAAATTCGGGAATTTTTCCCTGGAAAATCCTGAAAAAACCTGGGAAAACATGAAACAAATTTACTCATCGCTGAGTTCCTGCACTTTTGGCGATTATAAGTGAACTCAACTCAAATTTGGGTCGTTCTCATTCGCCGTGTACAAAAAATGCACTGAGAAAATGCATTTAATTTTTTTGTTGCTGGTAAAACGTATTTATTTATTTTTTGTTATAATAAATGCACCAAAAGTGATCTGCCCCTAGGGTTACTTACATTTGGATGTAGGAAAACATCGCATGAATTTCGATGACTATTAATCGACCCACAAATAAAGCAATCTTTTCGAGGCACAATAAATTTTGAATTGCCATTTCATAAGTAAGAACCGAAACATAAACTCGTACACAATAGGAACAAATAACAATTAACAAAAAAGAAATCACTGTAGAGTAAAACCAATTCAAACGGAGAAAACTTACCCCCACAAGCGTCTTGATGTTGTGCAGTGCATCCTGGGCCTTGAGAGCCGCTTTTCGCGTATAAAACGTCACAAAACAGCACCCTGGAAGAGAAACGAAAACAAAGAAGAAAAAGCACGATAAAGCATTGCACAATTCACGCACACGGACATGTTTATTGTTTTGGTCAACCGGCTTAGGGCCAGGGCAAACGGGAAAATATGTACAACAAGGTCTTCGCTAGTGAACAAGAGAAAGAAAGAAAGAAATAGAACAACAAGAACAAAGGAAATGAGGACACCAGTCGAACACTGAATAATTGAGTAGATTGTTGTTTTCCAGCTCAAGGATCTCCATCATCAGACAAACAAAACATGAACACTCATTACTGACCATTAGCAGTGTCCCAGATACAAACAATTCATAGGAAGATAAAAAAAAAATCGATTTCTTGGCCATGGCGTGGCTAATCTATCCTGTCGTGCGGTTCAGACCATCAGTCTGGAATGCGGAACGTGACCGGTGTGGACAGATGATGGATTATGGTTTCTTTATGTGGTGACAAGTACACACTTACACACGAGCACACATATTACAGGCAGTGTCAGTTTCCGTTTCCGGTGGGGTTCTGTTTTCTTTTTCTTTTTTTTTTTTCGTTTTCCGATAGAAGGTCCAGGTAAAGCATAATGTGGTGCTCCGCTGGATGTGGCCATAAGTAAGCCGTGTCCCAGCGTGCACTTTGTGTAAACAAGTCTGGATCCGCTCTGCTCTGCGTGACGTATCCGGACCGGACTCAAAGCCTGGACAGCGTGTATCTTTTGCTCTGGTAAACAATTCCGGTGCCGGTTTCTTGTTTATTTTTTGGAATGGTAATAGAGAGCATGATGATCGTGATGATGGCCGTGATTGACGAAGGATGTGGGGGCTGCGTCGTAAGAAAAAGAGCCATCACTCTCGAGAGGCTGCCTGGATTTGGCCGGACCGGAAATTACATAGATGTTATCTTGACAGCAGGAAACTTGCCACAGGGGTTTGGGGCCGACGGGGGTTTCGGGTTTGTTCAGGCTGATTGTGTTCCATCGAGAGTCGGTCGATGACAGTATGTTGATCGATAATTTGTTGAAAACATGGGTGCATTTTAAAGCCGGATAGGAAATTGGATCCACAGTAGGCTTATGCTTTTCACTAAAAGAAAACCAAATGGGAAACATAGAATTTATGCGATGTTTTTTTTCAAGAACTGAGTCGAAATATATAACTAGTTTGCACAAACTTTTTAATGGTAGCGGAGAATCCTCCTAAATGCATATGAGTTTCACAACAGAAAATCGAAACAAAGCCAGGCATTGCACTTCCTATTGGATGTAATTTCACCTAATGGCAAGTTGTGTACGTCTTTTTGTTCGACAAGCGCTAATAATACGTTCTTTTCCTGGTGGTAGCAAATTGCACCTACACGCCATCAAAAGACAGACAATGCAACTTCCAAGTTCTGAATAACTCATGAACCGTAGCAGAACACAGAAAAAACCAAACGTCCATTCGGTGCAACCCTGACATGCAATCGGCTTGGAGAGAAGAGAATTGCTGTCTTTCTGCTGGAAAACTCCCCCTCCCCCCTGCTTCAAGACATTTCTGGAAAAATGATTTCGTTTCTTGACTGCAGACACTGGACGCCCGAAAGAACACCCGGAAAAGTTCACGTCAATAAGTCTGAATTATTCAACCACAAGCATTGCACACGCTTGGTTCGGTGGCCAGTCAGTCAGTTTGAGAACAGAAGCCCTGACGAAGAACTGAACATCCGTGACTGAAGAGAATAATTGAGGTTTAGAGTTAATAATTGATGGCTAGATGGGGAACTACTTTCCTGGAAGGTAATTATAAATGATTCCCAAAGCTATGCTTCGTCCTTCTACGGGAAAAGTTTCATCGTTGGTAAGTTTTTCCTCGAGGATTTTCTGGTATCAATTTTTGAACGGATTCTTGAATATAAGTTTTCAAAGCCGATGAAGACAATGGAACAATGCTACCAAACGCACATCCCCGGAAGTGACTCCAAAAGTCCCATGTGACCAACAGCCTACCCTCACAAATTCAAATGAGATCCTCTGATTGCATTAACAAAACGCCCAACACCCAAATTCACTCGACCCACCCTAGACAGATAATCTTTTCGGTTCACTTGTTTGTCCTGGGCCCAGCCCGGTCCACTTTTTACCACATGATGAAGCCACAGATCAAAAGCTCATCACTTTCCTTTCAGAAAAACGAACTGAAACTTTTAATGATATCGTTAGCAATCCATTTTCCATCCAATTTATCCCACTCAATGTGCGGTTCGTATTGGAGTTTGGAGGGGGCAGGTTTTCGGTCGGTTGGCCATCCCTGCAATTATTATCATTCGAAAGTCATTTATTTCCCAATCAGCATTGACATCATCATATTCATTTTTCATTCCTCCCCCATCAACAAACATTGGCAACCGGGATGAGACTGTGGGACAAACATCGGCTCAACGGGATCCACATCTAGCTAGAAGATAGTCTCAATTAGATCCGTCCGAGCCAATCTCTGCTGATGCTGAGAGAAAGGATGCGAGCAGAAATCCACTTTGGATTCTTCAAGCATTATCACAGAAACTCGAGCAGAAACTATTGTCATTTTAGTCCAGAGTGGAAACCCACAGAACTTCACACCCAAACAGACTGATGCGAAAAGACAAGTAGAATCCCCTGATTTTTCCCTTCGGTTGGCCAACCCAACAGGGGCTAAAGAGCTCTTTCTTTGCAGCCAATCAAACTGATACAGCAAAACCTCCGCTGCACAGTGGTCGGAGATGGCAAAATCACGAACTAAATTGCATTTTGTAGAAACTATTATTTTTTTTATTGATTTATTTGATAAGGCTCAATCGAATTAACTTTACAGAGCCGAGGATTCTTGTTCACTATTTTTTTCCGTGTTGTGTATATTCATCACTGCGACCATTACTTTGATCTATTGTGATATTCCCTGTTTTTGTATTGCTTTATCAGTGATGTCGTATAACTATTTTGTGAAGTGACCGACATAGACTTGCCAAAAGCATTTTCCCAGCCAGGTATTACATTTAGAATGAAACCTGCATTCCAAATATCAAAGGGTTCTGCCAGCCCCTTATCCAGAAAAATACGCCTTTATTGAAGATTGCTGCACAAGAGCATAGCAGGCGTTCAGAGTCTTCCTTTTCTATGCCACAGAATCGACACATATTATCTTGAAGTTTTCCTATTAACTTCAAATGCTATTTACATGGACAATGTCCTGTTATCAAACCAGTATAGACACTGAGTTCTTTCTTTGATAATTCAAGAATTTTGCTAGACTTTGAAATGTTCGGAATTATGCCTGTATAGCAGTGGAAGTGTTGTTCCAATGTTTTCCACTTCTTGATCTCCATCTTAAGAGAGCAAGTAGAAACTCCACAGAATTGTTCTGGTCCTATGAATTACTGAGATGGTCCTTGCCTGGCTAACGTGTCGGCTTTTTTATTCCCTTCAATTCCACAGTGGCCAGGAACCCAATGTAGGTTTACTTGGTTTTGACCGGCCAATTTCTGAAGTGACATTGCACATTCCCATTCGAGTTTTGAATTGCATGTTGCTGATTTTAAAGCATTTAATGCTTGACTATCAGACACAATACAGATATTCGAATGTTTGTAATTTCTGCGCAAGCATATTACAGAGCATTCAAGAATTGCTTGAATTTCAGCTTGGAACACGGTTGGCCAGTAACCCATAGATATTGAGATATCTATCCCTGGACCAGTTACCCCTGCTCCCACACGATTGTTCAATCTTGAACCGTCTGAATAAAAAACAGTTGAACCTGGTCTGATGTTTGGTCCCCCACTTTCCCAAACATTACGATCAAATTCTACTGCATTGTATAAACGATCGAAATTATATTTTTCTCCATCCAGTCTTCATTTTCTAGTACGAGCGAATCAATATCAAACATTTATAAAATCCTTAAAGCACTCCTTTCAGCTTCTAATTGGATAAATTGATGCAACGGAAGCAGATTAAGTAGAGCATCTAGTACCATACTCGGTGTGCTGTTCATCGCACCAGTTATTGACAAAACATCTTAACACTACAGTCAAAAGGTACAACACAATAAACACTTTATCTTCCGCTATCCAATAAGCCAATAAGCCTACTTGTATGGCAGTATCGCCAACGGGGGGCAGAGCGCTTCCATTGCAGCAATGGACGCAAAACGTGGTCATCACTCACACACTCATCACTAAACGATTGCTTTCCAAAGTCGACGACGCATTGAGCGAAAGAGCTGCTGATGAAGAACAATGAGGAGGACCACACACGAATGCCAGGCTGTTAAAAGGTTAAGTGAACTACTGTCATCTTACCTGCTAGTGTTTAGTTCAATCTTCTGTGACTTTTTAATTGGACTTGTAAAATGCCTAAAATGGTCGTTTTTGATTGATTTATTAAGTTTCTGATATTTATTCACCATAAAATACATCCACTCATTTATGCTTATAAGTCAAACTTCACAATTACTTGCCTTAACAGACTTAGATTCATTGCAAGAGACAATACATCTGGCAACCCGTTTTCAATGATACTTTCACGATTGTTAGCAAAGCAGTAAAGTTTAAGTGGTTTTCTTGGTGATCAACTTTGTTCACCAAGAGTTTTGTGAAACAGTTGTTTTAAGTTTCGTGTATTCGATTGCGTGTAATTGTGCTCTACTTCGAAGAATACAAGTAAGTAAATACAGTGAATGTATTTTACTCAGGAAATTTTCGTTCTAAAAACATGAAAAACATGTTTTAAATTTTCATATTAATAATGTGAGAATGTATGGGTACACTTATGATGATGATTGAATGATATTTCAAAATAAAGAAAAATACAAATTTACCTACCCTTTGTTGAACCTTAAACATTCCACAAGACAAACCACATAGGTTCTATACGAATGCATAAACGGTATGTGTGCCAATCAGGGTGTAAGTCACTCTGCCACCTTGTGTTAAAACCCACAAAAAACACTGTGACACACGAGGGGGGCGACACATCTAAATCTCAAT